ATTATTTCCGGAAACAGCTTTGAAAAGACAAATAATGGATAGTGAAGCGAGGGCGGAAAAGTGGCAAACAACAGAAATGACTGATCGCAACGAGGAAATTTAATTAATGCATGTTTTTTGGCGTATATTAGTTCCGAATGTACAAATTCACAGCACCCACCTCAAAATTTCCCTCACAAAAAATAATTAAGGGATTTGGAGCAACAACAACAACCATGTCCCACACAGTACGTGTGTTGGTGGTTCCATCTTCCAGAGTCGCTGTGATTTGAGTCCTGTAAAGATCCAACAAGGAACGGCATACTGGCTATTGAAATAGAACAAATCATCCAGGAAATTACTTTTTTTGGTACCAAGTCTCCAGGGGAAGGTAGGTGCAAGCGCGGATTTAACGCTCTTTGGCTCCCAAAGACTAAACCCTTCCCAAAAGAGCTCAGCCCCCACCTCCCCCTCCCTTTCTCTCCTCCGCTCCCTCCATCCCATAATGAGATATCACTTGATCAAATTTAATTCTCAAGATTATTTTTGCTGCCAGAAAAAGTCACACTTTCAGGCACTTATTTTAGACCTAAGTTACCTACCATGATTTAACATTTTTTGAGAGATATTTTACAACTGGCTTAATTTTGTACCAGTTAAGCTAAATTTTGTAGTTTTTCGTTCGAATTTTGCATCAGTTCGGATTCTTCTTTTCTGAAGTTTTGTATTCGTTATTTCAATTTTCGCGTTTTCTCCCTCTCTAGTAGCAATCTTGGAATGTTATATTTACCGGAAGCATATCTCCAGATCATTTCCTGATACCACTGCCTTGATTTAAACTGCGACTGAATCCACATTTACTGAGACAAAAAATCTGATGACTCCAAACTGTGGACTCTAGTATGATGTGTAAAAGGAAGTACAAACAAAAACAAAGGGAATCTTCATTAATTACGCCGATAATTTCGTAAAATTTAATCCACCCTGGAAAAACCAGTAATTCTTATAAGTTTACTGGAAGTCGCACAAGGACAAACATACATGAAAAACTATAAGTTACCTGCCAAAATTGTTCATTTTACTTGGACGAAAAAGGAGCAGTTTTTATGACTCCGGAATACCAAGCCTTTATATAGTGAAAATGACCTTCAAAAATGACATATTTTCAAAATCTCTTCGAATTTTGGAAGAAATTAGCAAATGCAATCAAAATCAAGGCTTCTCTTGGCCGTCCTTCGGTCCTCATTCTTTCGTGATCATAAATTTTGGGGAAAATGGAGTTACTCTGTTTTTATTCTCAAACGAATTAGGCTTTGACGGCATTTTAACCACCGCCTTCCTCCGGCTGAAAAATTGGCTCCAATAATACTGTGGAAGACTGTTTGATTTATTGAAAGTTATTCATAGTTTTACGACTTGAAGAATTCATCTGATCTTGACTTTTTTATAATAAAACAAAGTAAAACATAAGCTCGCAGTCAGCGGTGTACCGAAGGCTTGCCAAAACGCCTCTGCAGGGAGAAGCCATCAGCCGGCAATCCTTTCTGGAAACAGAATGAGTGTTAGGATCGCCAGCAAGCTGACTACCAGGCGATGCAGTATTGGTCAAAACAACTGCAGAAGTTGCCAGCTGCACAGTTGTCCGTGTCAACTGATCAAAAATGTGCAAAATATGGCTATTTTGATAGTGAACAAAATAAAAATAAAGCAATGCTTAAAAAAACAAAATCAACCTCAGTAACCTTCGCAAGGGAAAGCCATCGGAGAGCCCTGTAAGCAAATACCGATCTTGCTGCTTGCAAAGTGTTACTGCTCGAGCTACTTTCGGATGCCTCAGTCTTACATAGCGAGAGAAACAAGGCGAGGAATTTCACTTTTTAGCCCGCATTCAGGCATGCAAATTTAGCAAACAATTTGACAAAAATTAGCAAAAAATTTGTGAAAAATTTCAAATCTCTTCCATTAAAACTTATTCCAACGATAACCGAACGCAGCGAAAATACGGCAGCTACACAGTCTTTAATTAGAAAATTTCTTGTCATTAATAAAGACAATGAAACTCAGAGGAGGAGAGGGAAAAAAGTAGCTTTCTTAAACAACCTCCTTCCTAACTCCTCTTCGTTTTTTATTCTCCAGCTAAAAAATTAAGGAAAAAATTATCAGTTTAAAAGGATTTTCTAACAAACGTTCAGATTTCTGCACCTTTACAAACTTGAATTGTCTCCGCATGCTCAAATAAGCAAACAAGCTATCCAAAAAGTGAACCTGCTTTATTGTCAAACCGACCGGCGCAGCACATCAGAGAGTGGTACTCATGAAAAAAAAATTTCGATGAAAAGGGTACTAAATGGAGAAATGCAGCTCGGGATCGAAGAGTCCGACAAAGGAGTGCATCGTATTCAGGAGCATCACAGTAGAATCACTAATATGATACTCACCTACCGACTACTTTGGCGGTTTTTCCTTCCACTTCATTTGTTCGTAACGGCATCCTGCATCCGCTTACACAACTCACTTTTCAGGATAAAGCATAAGAACCAAGAAGATCCGAAAATCTCACAAACCTGTCATTGATGGATTTCAATTGTACGCTTGGCTCGGGCGCCAGATCAACATCGGATGCTAGCAGCTGGCCACTCCAATCATTCGCATCATCAATGTGAATTCGCGTTCGTGCCAGACACTCTTTCAGTTGCTCACTTTCATCCACCGCTGCCGGTAGCTCTTCCAGACGTAGCTGCTCGACCGGTCGAAGCAACTCCATGCGTTCTTCCATGTTCGATAGCGCCAACTGGCATTCCGCGATTGCGGCTGCCATTTTTTCCATTTTTGCGTGCGCATCAACGATGATACGAGTCCAGGCTCCCAACTGCTCCCGGAGCTCAGCCCACTTCTCGCCCAGCCGATCGCTATCCGATTTAATTTGAATACCAACGCGACGCAGCTCAGCATTCCCATTTTCTGGAAATGCATTACTAAGTGCAATTGGGTGAGGCTAACAACAAATCCTTTTCTTGATCTCAGGAGAAATTCGCAAAAATTTTCTTCTTTGGAAAGGATTAGGTGTTTATCGCGAGGTAACAGAAGACATGCCTCTTTTGTCCTTACACAGCACCATCGAGATTTTTAAAAACAACTCACCAGCTTCTTCATCTGGTGCTAGAACACTGGTGCTTCGTATACGTGGCCGTAAATCGTGTTGCATAAGGTAACTATGCGCTAACTTTATACATTCATCCACATCTCGTTGGCGGCGCTTCATTTCAAACTCGAGCTTCTAAAAAACTCCTTTTTATGCGTTTTTGCCTATATGCAAATTGCAAAAACGCATATTGGGACGACCCTGTCT